ACTGCAACCTCTGCCTCCCAGGTTCAAGTGATTCTCCTGCCTCGGCCTCCCTAGTAGCTGGAATTACAGGCATGCACCACCACGCCCGGCTAATTTTATATTTTTAGTAGAGATGGGGTTTCTCCACTGTTGGTCAGGCTGGTCTCAAACTCCTGACGTCAGGTGATCTGCCTGCCTCAGCCTCCCAAAGTGCTGGGATTACAGGCATGAGCCACCGCGCCCAGCCAACAATTTCAACTAACCATCTAGTATTGAGCATAAGTTACTTAACAAAAGATGCCTGCCATCGTTATTATTTGTGGTTCTGTGTGTTCAATGTACAGGGTTTTGTTTTAATCAGCTGGTGTGAGGCCGAAGGATGAGGAGGCAATGGCTGTCAGGAAAGGAGTTTCCACTCATAGTTCCCCAGAGACCCCCAGGGAGGGAGTGAGGGGAGACCTAGCACCTTGGTTGTGGTTCTCATGGGAGGATCAGGCAGGGTGAGTGGAACAGGCTGCCCAGGCTTGGGGTGGGCTCTGAACATGGGCTCTGGATTTGTTGGCTTTCATATCAGAAGTGTGCTCACCATGGCCTCCTGCCTCTAGGAACTGGCTGTCCCTAGGAGGGCAGTCTCTGCAGGGTCCACAAGCCTCCAGATGCCAAACCATGATAAAAGACAGAAGTGAAGGCAGCACTCACACAGCCCAGTGGGACAGCTCTCCTTCTTGCTCTTAGCTGTTCTTTGGAGGCTTCTCAGGGTCACCTGCAGACTCAGGAGTTATGATACCTCCCGCAGGCAACATCCTCACAAGGTCCGCACAGCCCGGGGCAAAGACAAGACCCCCGTTGGGGATACGGAGACTGCCTTGTGCCCCACAGACCTGCGACCCCCCGACATGCCGCCGCAGGCAGGCACTGGGCAGTCACCGGGCAGTCACCAGTCACTGCGCTGGGGAAGCCTAATGCTCGGGCTCCCTCACCAGGTGACTTTTCCCAGCCTGGGGTCCACGAGCAGGTGCTGCTTGAGAACTCAGTCGTCACATCTCCCCTTTCACCTTACAAGGCACCTGGAGAAAGCAAACACGGGTGGAGCGCTGAAAGAACTTCTGGACGTGCTTTTGCCCTTCCGGCAGTTCTCGGGAGCAGGAGCCAAGGCTTGGGAGAGGCAGGGGAAGAAGCTTGTGCTCCAGATGCTCATTGAGCACCTGTGTATGCCAGGCACAGTCTGCATGCCCACGGCTGCCCCCATGACGGGCAGGCCCCTTCGCAGAGCCCCCGGCCGAGGGCCCCTGAGTGAGGTTGAAGCTCAGCTGGGACTGGCCAGTTCATTTCCAGGTCTTGCTTTCCAGCTGCTGATGATTCAGATGGCTTACATATTCTCTAAGCTGCAGAGGTGCATAAAGGTAGAAAGATTAAAATGTAGGATATTTACGCCCTCATGTGGAAGACCCGGGGCTGCTCAGGGTGTCGTGCTGGCACCAGGGCTGCGCGTGACCGAAGAGGAACCCGCGTGCCTGTGTGGCTCTGCCTGCCTCTGCCCTCACGGCGGAGAGGCAGTGACAGCTACCGAGAAGCGCAGCAGGCTGGCCTGGTTGTCGTCCTCAAAGCACCGTGATGTGTTACGGTGAACGACTCGTGTTTTTTTCTTGTTCTACCACAGGCAGTGTCTCCTCCCGGGCCCCTGAGCATCCCGGCCTGACACCGAGTCAGAGGAGCGTGGGAAAGCCTCTCAGGTAGTGTCCCCTGCAAGCACCTTCTTCACAGCGTTTTAAAGGAAATGGTCAGCAAAATAAAACTGCTCATCATCTCACCCACAGAATTACTGCTAAAAGTTTAATGTGTTGCTTTTCATCCCTTTTTTTACACGCTTTGAGTGAGGTTTTGTTGCATATACCACTTTAGAGTTTGCTTTTTTTTTAGCCAGAGTTTCCCTCTTTGTTGCCCAGACTGGAGTGCAATGGCGCGATCTTGGCTCACCGCAACCTCCACCTCCCGGGTTTAAGTGATTCTCCTGCCTCAGCCTCCCGAGTAGCTGGGATTACAGGCATGCTCCACCAAGCGTGGCTAATTTTGTATTTTTAGTGGAGAAGGGGTTTCTCCATGTTGGTCAGGCTGGTCTCGAACTCCCGACCTCAGGTAATCCACCCACCTCGGCCTCCCAAAATGCTGGGATTACAGGCATCAGCCACCGTGCCTGGCCAGGAGTTTGCTTTTTTGAAGCTAAGATACAACGTAGGCATTTGCCCTGTTGCTAAAATCTTCAAAAGAACCACGTGATGACTGTGTGCTATTTTACTACAAGAATAGGCCGTGGGTCAGCAGGCGTCTTCTATAAAGGTCAGGTAGTAAATATGTTTGACTTTTTGGGCAGCTGCTCAGCTCTGCCTCTGTATTGAGAAGGCTGGGGCAGGCAGTGTGTAAATTAATGGGTGTGGCTGGGTTCCAGTAAAACTTTATTTACAAAAGCAGGTGGCAGGCTGGACTCGGCCCCAGCCCCAGAACAGACCACAGTTCACCTCCCCATGTTCTTCTTCTCAGACCTCTGGGTGGCCTCCCACTCTGTCTGCTGCATATTTAAGTACACACCGATGTCTCTGTCAACTGAACTCAAGTGTTCAAAGGTCCGGTGCTCTCTCTAAAAGGCAGACGCTCCCATGTCAGCCCCCCAGAGTCCTTGAACGGCTTTTAATGCCTGTTGTCCAATCCACCCCTGGCTGCCTGCAGGCCTCAGCGTTCTCTCACATCCCCACCTCCCATCCCCGTTGGCCTGGGGTGTTGACCCTCCTGGGTGCCCACGGGCCCTGCAGCATCTGTCCATGTCTTCTGCTGACCGCCTGGTGGGGGTGTGCGTGCTGGTCCGAGGTACTCAGAGATGCTTGTGAATCCAGGCCTTTAAAACCACAAAACCGTCAGTGCTGTAATTGTCATGTCACCAGAGATGCTTGGAGCATTAATAATTTTGTGTTTCTTGAATTTATTAGGATTCCACCTCTGCAAATCCCCTACAAGGGACCACCGCTAACGCCAACACCACAGTTACCAGGGAGAGCAGGAAGAGGGGACTCTCCAGGCTTCGGGAGCTCCCAGGCCGGGCTGCCCCCCAGGCCGCCCATCAGCATCGCCAGCCTGCTGCAGAGGCAGTGTTCAGGCAGGTGCTCAGCAGCCCCAGAAGGAAATGCTCTTGGGAAAGTGCATGTGTAAAGAAGTCTTCAAGTGTGCGCCAAGGGCAGACACGGAGCTCTAAACGTTCTCAAGAGTTGTGTTTCTGAGCTTTGCCTTAGTCGTTCAGAAACGCAGCAAGGTTCACTTTTCTATTCATTGTGAAGTTCCAAAATTACGACTTAAAACATATTGATAATACTCTGAAAATACTAAGATGACATCTGAATTTTTAAAAGTACACATTTTAGTGAATAAACTCTTCTCCCCACCTTATTTTTTGTATGTAACATGTGCATCCTCATTTTCCTCAACAGTGTGAAGTTTTGAAGTCATTTCAAAGACAAAGTTGATGTGTTTTTATTGCGACTCTCGATGCTTCCTGCGGGACCTGCTCACCTTGGGGCAGTGACACGTGAAAGATGAACACCCAGCCACCCGCTCTACCCCTTCCAGTCCTCCAGCCTTCTGCCTACTAGCATGTGTATGTTAGACAGCCAATGCGACTACACTTTCTCACTTGATGAAATAATTAAGTAATGTAGTCGAATAAAGTATTTTTCTGATTATCAGGGGTAGCGTATATGTGATATGTTTGAAACTTCACTCTTAACAACTTGGAACTTCCTTAAAATGTTGATGCTGGAGGCAAAACGAACACCTGCCTGTTGATTTACTGTGAGAAGGTTCTGGCTGCAGCTCCTGGGGGAGACAGGTCTGCTGTGGGGTGTGCACGCCGCGTGGGTCCGCTCCCCGCATCCTGTGTTAGGTGATTACTATGCGTTCTGTTCACACAGTACTCACAGCTGGCCTGTGATGCCGGCTTCAGCGGATAAATCTGTCAGGTCCGGAGATGGATTCCGGGCCTGAGTTCACCCTGCAGGTGCGGCCTGTGTGCGTGGAGCCGCCGCCTCCGTCAGGAGGGTGGGGTCTTCTGCAGGGGATGCCCCTGTGCACGGGGCTCCCAGAGAGGCTCAGATCCCACGTCTCTCCCGCCAGCCGGGACCACACAGGGTTGGAAAAGAGGCTTATGGGGTTAGTTCTAATCTTTTAGTTTGCATTTACCTAAAAAGTGTCAGCTTTATCTCACTCAAGTTAACCGAGTTAACAGCAGCCGAGCACCACGTGAAGCAGGAGAATCCTCACCTTCGCTGCAGGCGGAGCTGAGGCACTGCCAGGCTGTACAGAGACTTTATTTCAGGTGAGGCGTCCCTGCCTTCACAGCAGCCTCCCAGGTGCCTGCTCTAGGCCCTCCAGATGCCAGAATGCCTGGGCTGCTGGACAGAGGGTGCCCATGTCCTTCTGGTAGTCATGGCATTCATGGCTGTCCCCTCTGGGGGCTGACTGTCCCCTCTGTGACTTGACTGTCCCCTCCAGGAGCTGACTGTCCCCTCCAGGAGCTGACTGTCCTCTCTAGGAGCTGACTGTCCCCTCCAGGAGCTGACTGTCCTCTCTAGGAGCTGACTGTCCCCTCTGCCGGGAGCTGACTGTCCCCTCCGGGAGCTTACAGTGCTCCAAAAACTCATGCTAAAATCAGATATGCAGAAATCCTTTAGAAATGTGCATGTTCTAAGTCGGTTTCATTCCCGGAAATTTCAAAACGTAAAATCATGAATCGAATGATGGCGCTGATGTTTCCTTCCCTGTGTGTGCCGTGTGCTATGTGCATGAGGGCTTCACACGTCCAGCTGCAGGCTACATGAGAAATACAAGCGGGAGGAATCGCTTCTCTTCCTGCAGCTGCCGTTCTCACGGTTTACCTCGCAGGGCTCTGCTCAGTCTGCAGCAGCCGCCTTGGTTCTGGCAGGTGGACTTGCTGGAGCTGATCCTGCAAAGGAACGTGGCCGGGGCCGTCCTCATGCCTGTGGTGTTCCTTAAGGGCCTTCTTTGAAAACTTTGCCAAGAAATATTCCCCGGGGCTGCCGTGCTGCCTCAGCCTCTCTCCAGGCAGTGCCGGGCCCTTCTGTCTGGTGGCTGATGACTCGTCCTTGATTTTAAAAACTTAGTTTCTTCCATCACTTCACCTTTCTAGACATAAACTTGAGGCCACACTTTATTCTTGTTGTTTTTCACAGTTGAGCCTGCTTTTGGCCAGGGTCCACCCCGCAGCACCTGGTTCTGTACAGGCGTTCGCCAGGGGCAGCCCTTGTGCCTTGATTTGCCACTGGCCCACGTCGGCACACCTTTCTTCCCTTTCCAGTGATTGTCACTGGAAAAGGCACAATTTAGTAAAACATCCAGACAGTGGCACAAGCCTACTCCGTGGATGGGGGCGACAGACAGTACTGTCGAGGCGGAACTGCCGTCTATCCTCACGCAGTGCGTGAAAGCCCACGTTCAGCCCAGGAACAGCAGCGCAGGGCCTGAGGGATGATGTGTGAAGGCACCAGCTGTGTGAAACAAGACTGTGAAAGCCCAGGGCGAGCCATGGGGTCGTGATGGAGCAGCAGAGGCTGGCAGGGGGGCAGGAACACGGAGGGGCAGTGCCTTCCGCTCTTCGTGCGTCCTGGGCTAGAAGTGGGCGGCACCTTTTCTGTGGGCTCCGCCACACCCACGTGTGCGTGTACAGCAGCCAAGCCTTTCCCCCCACCCCCCACCACCCACGGTGAGTTGTCCTGCCCAGTGGTGTCTCGTGGGCTGGGCTGCAGGCAGTGGGGGCGCTGCCTCCATCACTCATGGTGCAGCTGTGATTCAGGGCCAAGACTTAACCTTGGGCTGAGTCCCCCGCTCCTGTGCAGCCTCATGCATCATCCCTCAGGCCCCACACTGCTGCAAGGACAGGTGGGAGTTCCACCTCGGCAGTGCTATCCATCGGGTCTCTCCACGGAATAGCTTTGTGCCACTGTCCAGATGTTTTACTAAATTTTTTCTTTTTTGGTGAAAGAAGATGGTTCCCTGCTGTATTAGTCTGTTCTCACACTGCTATTATATTAAAGACATACCCAACTGAGACAGGATAGTTTATAAAGGAAAAGGGTCGAATGGACTCACAGCCCCACATGGCTGGGGAGGCCTCACAGTCACGGCAGAAGGTGAAGAAGGAGCAAAGGCACATCTTACATGGCGGCAGGCAGAGTGTGTGCAGGGAACTGCTCCTATAAAATCATCAGATCTCATGAAACTTATTCACTCTCATGAGACCATGAGACCAGCATGGGAAAGACCTGCCCACATGATTCAGTTACCTCCCACGGGGTCCCTCCCACAACGTGGGAATTATGGGAGCCACAGTTCAAGAGGAGATTGGGTGAGGACACAGCCAAACCGTATCACCTGCCCGTCTGAGCACCACGTCCATCTCATCAACCAGCACAGCAAGGCCCTCGCAGTGACGGCATAGGGAGGCAGTTGCCGACAAGAACATGTGGTTCGAGCTCTCTATGTGTTACAGGAAGTCCAGAAGTGCCAGGGGAGTGGACACGTTTCTCATTGTGATTTTTATTTTCCTGCTAAGCTTCTGAGTTTTGAGGGAAAAAAATATTTGAAACTGAAATTAATGTTTATAGAAAGATGTCACTAATGCTGGGCGGGATTTGGAGGAAATGCTGGAGCAGGAACTCGGCCAGGAAGAAGGAAGCCGTTCACTGGATGGATTAGTGCAGACGGACTCCGTGAGTCCACGCAGCATTCTTC